AGGGAAAGGGGTATAAAGAAAAACGGGAAGTGGATTTAAGGAAACCGCAGGGGAGGGAGGGGGGGAGGTACTACACTACCTTCCTGCGTCTGAGTGACTGGCAGGTCATAGGCAGGTGGGTCATACTTGGCAGATGGGTCATACTAGGCAGATGGGTCATACTTGGCAGATGGGTCATACTAGGCGGTGGGTCATACTTGGCAGATGGGTTATACTAGGCAGTGGGTCATACTTGGCAGATGGGTCATACTAGGCAGGTGGGTCATACTTGGCAGATGGGTCATACTAGGCAGGTGGGTCATACTTGGCAGATGGGTCATACTAGGCAGGTGGGTCATACTTGGCAGATGGGCCATACTAGGCAGGTGGGTCATACTTGGCAGATGGGTCATACTAGGCAGGTGGGTCATACTTGGCAGATGGGTCATACTAGGCAGATGGGTCATACTTGGCAGATGGGTCATACTAGGCAGGTGGGTCATACTTGGCAGATGGGCCATACTAGGCAGGTGGGTCATACTTGGCAGATGGGTCATACTAGGCAGGTGGGTCATACTTGGCAGATGGGTCATACTAGGCAGGTGGGTCATACTTGGCAGATGGGCCATACTAGGCAGGTGGGTCATAGCATCCAGCTATCCTCACATTACAAGTAATGCACTAGGAAGTGAGTGCACGAGGAAGGCAAGCATCGCTTCTGAGTGCAAATAAAGGTGTAGAAATAAGAGAATGGTGGAAACCAAATATGTGAACGAGACTAAGGTCATAAAAGGTTAAGAGACAGCAGAGGAATAGGTTCAAGTGGGAAGAGAACAAACAAAATAGGACTGGAAGGTCGTAATCCCCCCAAAAGGGCGATTTGACATGGAAATTAAGTGTGACTTGTGGTGTGTATATTACCAGCTGAGTGTAATACAGCTGAGACAACAGTATCAGCCAGCTAAAAGCACCTCTTTATTAACCCTCATAAAATTACCTCGTCTGTAGGTCATTAACACGTACTGTACGTGAATCCAGAGGCACGTGTTGCAGTATTGAAACCCGTGATTTTTGGATATAAACACATCAACAGAAAATGAGGATTTTATTCTATCTCAGTTGAAGAGAGTGTAATAAATTTTATCTCATGAGGATAAGATGAAGGGAAAATTTATTTTTTAAAGCAGAAAGGGACACCATTAACCTCCCCAGGGGAGACTTGCTTATCCCAGGGGACAGAACTTCACCCACAGGATGCACGGCCACGAAGCTTCTGAAATAATACAAAAGAAAAACGAAAATAGGATAAAATAAACGCAAATAAATACATGTTAGAATACAAACAGTGCAAAGAAAAAACGTGTTTGGATTTAGCAGGGTTTAGGATACTGGCTATTTTTTTTTTTTTTGATAAACCATTTAGCTTAAACTTTCAAGATTATTGGAGTGTTAAAAGAGGGTGGAAGGGTAAGCCACAGTAAGGCCTCGGTCAGATGACCAAACGCTCCAGCTGTGAGTCATCATATGACCAAGACCGCGTCAGGAAACACTTATCCTGTTTCCTGACAAACCTTACCTAGCCTAACCTCCTCCAAGCCATTACAGCCAGTGTGAAATGAGTGTATATCACGGTGAACGATTTCAGATTATGGCAGGAGGGTACGATAGTTGACTCAACACTGGCAGTCTCAACTCCACTCTTGGCTGCTTCAGTGATACAGGTGTCAACAGTTGAACAATAACCTCCGTATCGTCAAACTAGGGAATTTACACTGAGACACTCCGTGAGATTCTCTGGTGATAGTCTTCATACTGTAATGATGTATGGGAGGACAAGAGAGAATCAACCTTCCAGCATAATAGGGTGTTGAACCAGTCTACCAGCATGATAGGAGGACAGGGTGTTGAACCAGTCTACCAGCATGATAGAACAGGGTGTTGAACCAGCCTACCAGCATGATAGGACAGGGTGTTGAACCAGTCTACCAGCATGATAGAACAGGGTGTTGAACCAGCCTACCAGCATGATAGGACAGGGTGTTGAACCAGTCTACCAGCATGATAGAACAAGGTGTTGAACCAGTCTACCAGCATGATAGGAGGACAGGGGTGTTGAACCAGTCTACCAGCATGATAGGACAGGGCGTTGAACCAGCCTACCAGCATGATAGGACAGGGTGTTGAACCAGTCTACCAGCATGATAGGAGGACAGGGTGTTGAACCAGTCTACCAGCATGATAGGACAGGGTGTTGAACCAGCCTACCAGCATGATAGGACAGGGTGTTGAACCAGTCTACCAACATGATAGAACAGTGTGTTGAACCAGTCTACCAGCATGATAGAACAGGGTGTTGAACCAGTCTACCAGCATGATAAGAGGACAGGGTGTTGAACCAGCCGTCCAGCATGATAGGAGAGGGGGTAATCTATCTATCTATCTATCTAGCTAGCTAACTCACCTCTCTTCTGCTTGGGTTCGCTGAAGGAGAGCTGTGTAAGATGGGCTCCTGTAGCGGCAGGATATCTGTCAGTAGCCTCCATGCCTTCCGTCAGTTCCTCCAGAGCCGCCTCCTCCATTTTCCTCCATGGAATTACACGATCTGAAGGTGCCGTTCCTCCAACGACAGGACGGAACGATCGCAAGATCTGCTGCAAGTTCTTGTTGCTGTCTTCTGTCTGTTGCAAGAGAAAACCAGAGATTTATTTTCAGCATTTCGACATCGTTAACAGAATTAGCATTGTTACCTAGTTTATCCTAATCTATTCTTAGATATCCTAAAATAGGCTAACTTATCCTAACCTAACTTCACTAATGTCCTATCTCATAGCAATGTTCCTCTGCACTTATTTGCAGTTTTCTTTTTTCACTGTTCTTTGCACTGTTTCTATTGAGTGTTGCTCATCTGTAACGTTCTCAGCTAATGTTCTCTGCTTATCTGCCATTGTTTTGTTACTCAGTATATCTACGGTTCTTATATACCTTCTAGAGTATATATCTGTTGTTGTTGTGTTAAACTTGATGACCCTGGGTTTGTATGTGTGTGTGTGTGTGTGTGTGTGTGTGTGTGTGTTTTGGAGGGGAGAGGCTAATGCTGTTTAGTGACTCGAAGACAATCTTGCAGGTGGTTACAGTAAGACCCGTCTTACTGTTTGTAAGACCCGTCTCACCATCTGTAAGACCAGACTCACCGTCTGTAAGACCCGTCTCACCATCTGTAAGACCCGTCTCACCATCTGTAAGACCCGTCTCACCATCTGCAAGACCCGTCTCACCATCTGTAACACCCGTCTCACCATCTGTAAGACCCGTCTCACCATCTGTAAGACCCGTCTCACCGTCTGTAAGACCCGTCTCACCATCTGTAAGACCCGTCTCACCGTCTGTAAGACCCGTCTCACCATCTGTAAGACCCGTCTCACCGTCTGTAAGACCCGTCTCACCGTCTGTAAGACCCGTCTCACCATCTGTAAGACCCGTCTCACCATCTGTAAGACCCGTCTCACCGTCTGTAAGACCCGTCTCACAGTCTGTAAGACCCGTCTCACCGTCTATAAGACCCGTCTCACAGTCTGTAAGACCCGTCTCACCGTCTGTAAGACCCGTCTCACAGTCTGTAAGACCCGTCTCACCGTCTGTAAGACCCGTCTCACCATCTGTAAGACCTGTCTCACCGTCTGTAAGACCCGTCTCACAGTCTGTAAGACCCGTCTCACCGTCTGTAAGACCCGTCTCACCATCTGTAAGACCCGTCTCACCATCTGTAAGACCCGTCTCACCGTCTGTAAGACCCGTTCACCGTCTGTAAGACCCGTCTCACGTCTGTAAGACCCGTCTCACCATCTGTAAGACCCGTCTCACCGTCTGTAAGACCCGTCTCACAGTCTGTAAGACCCGTCTCACAGTCTGTAAGACCTGTCTCACCGTCTGTAAGACCCGTCTAACCGTCTGTAAGACCCGTCTCACCATCTGTAAGACCCGTCTCACCGTCTGTAAGACCCGTCTCACCATCTGTAACTCCCGTCTCACCATCTGTAAGACCCGTCTCACCATCTGTAAGACCCGTCTCACCATCTGTAGGACCCGTCTCACCATCTGTAAGACCCGTCTCACCATCTGTAGGACCCGTCTCACCACCTGTAAGACCCGTCTCACCATCTGTAAGACCCGTCTCTCCATCTGTAAGACCCGTCTCACCATCTGTAAGACCCGTCTCACCATCTGTAAGACCCGTCTCACCATCTGTAAGACCCGTCTCACCATCTGTAAGACCCGTCTCACCATTTGTAAGGACCCGTCTCACCATCTGTAAGACCCGTCTCACCATCTGTAAGACCGTCTCACCATCTGTAAGACCCGTCTCACCATCTGTAAGACCCGTCTCACCATCTGTAAGACCCGTCTCACCATCTGTAAGACCCGTCTCACCATCTGTAAGACCCGTCTCACCATCTGTAAGACCCGTCTCACCACCTGTAAGACCCGTCTCACCGTCTGTAAGACCCGTCTCACCACCTGTAAGACCCGTCTCACCACCTGTAAGACCCGTCTCACCACCTGTAAGACCCGTCTCACCACCTGTAAGACCCGTCTCACCATCTGTAAGACCCGTCTCACCATCTGTAAGACCCGTCTCACCATCTGTAAGACCCGTCTCACCACCTGTAAGACCGTCTCAACGTCCTGTAAGACCCGTCTCACCACCTGTAAGACCCGTCTCACCACCTGTAAGACCCGTCTCACCGTCTGTAAGACCCGTCTCACCACCTGTAAGACCCGTCTCACCACCTGTAAGACCCGTCTCACCACCTGTAAGACCCGTCTCACCGTCTGTAAGACCGTCTCACCACCTGTAAGACCCGTCTCACCACCTGTAAGACCCGTCTCACCACCTGTAAGACCCGTCTCACCACCTGTAAGACCCGTCTCACCACCTGTAAGACCCGTCTCACCACCTGTAAGACCCGTCTCCCAGCACAGTTGGAATAATTCCTTGTTGATGTCCTTCCAAAAAACTCTTTTTACAAATTAAAAAAAAAATGAAAATTCTTTGACAAATTTTTGGACAAAAAAGTTTTTTCTTTGCGGTGTTGACAAGTAATGTGACCATAATGATTGCAACGTTGCCACACCTGCACAGTGTGACTTTGTTAATTAACCCTCCTTCCTTCCCAGGTTAATATTAACACCCAGGTAGTTAACCTTCCTTCCTTCCCAGGTTAATGTTAACACCCAGGTAGTTAACCTTCCTTCCTTCCCAGGTTAATGTTAACACCCAGCTAGTTAACCTTCCTTCCTTCCCAGGTTAATGTTAACACCCAGGTAGTTAACCTTCCTTCCTTCCCAGGTTAATGTTAACACCCAGGTAGTTAACCTTCCTTCCTTCCCAGGTTAATGTTAACACCCAGGTAGTTAACCTTCCTTCCTTCCCCCAGGTTTTAATGTTAAAAAAAACCCCAGGAGTTAACCCTTCCCTTTCCTTCCCAGAAAATTTTAACACCCGGGTTTGTTAACCTTCCTTTTCCTTCCCCGGTTAATTTTTAACCCCCAGGTATTTAAAACCCTTTTTCCTTTCCCCGGGGGGTTAATGTTAAAAACCAGGAATTTTTAACCCTTCCCTTTCCCCCCCAAAGGTTTTTGGGTTTAAAAACCCGGGTTATTTAAACCCTTTTCCTTCCTTCCCCAGGTTAATTTTAAAAAACCCGGGTATTAACCTTCCTTCCTTCCCAGGTTAATGTTAAAAACCCGGGTATTTAAACCCTTTCCTTCCTTCCCAGGTTAATGTTAACCCCCAGGTATTAACCCCCCTTCCCTTCCCGGGGTTAATTTTAACACCCAGGTATTTAAATTTTTTCCTTCCTTTCCCCAGGTTAATGTTAACCCCCAGGTAGTTAACCTTCCCCCTTTCCCCGGGTTAAGTTAAACCCAGGTATTTAAACCCTTTCCCTTTCCCTTTCCCCATTTTAAATGTTAACCCCCATTATTTAAACCCTTTCCCTTCCTTCCCGGTTTAATTTTTAACCCACCCTGTATTTAAACCCTTCCCTTTTCCTTTTCCCGGGTTTAAATGTTAACCCCCAGGTAGTTAACTTCCCTTTCCCCTTCTAGGTTAATTTTTAAAACCCCAGTAGTTAATTTTCCTTTTTTTCCCAGGTTAAGGGTTAAACCCCCCAGGTATTTAAATTTTTCCCTTTCCCCTTCCCAGGTTAATGTTAACACCCAGGTATTTTTAAATTTTTCCCCTTCCCTTTTCCCAAAGGAAAAATGTTAAAAACCCGGTATTTAAACCCTTTCCCTTTCCCTTTCCCCTTTTTAAAAGTTAACCCCCAGGTATTAAATTTTTCCCTTTCCTTTTCCCCAGGTTAATTTTAAACCCCCAAGGTATTTAAACCTTCCTTCCTTTGGGGGTTTAATTTGTTAACACCCCGGGTTATTTAAACCTTTCCCTTTCCCTTTCCCGGGTTAATTTAAACCCGGGTATTTAAACCCTTTCCCTTCCTTTCCCCGGGTTTAAATTTGTTAACCCCCAGGTATTTAAACCCCTTTCCTTCCTTTTTTCCCAGGAAAATTTAAAACACCCAGGTATTAAACCCTTTTTTCCCTTTCCCCAAGGTTTAAAAATTTTAACCCACCCAGGTATTTTTAACTTTCTTCCTTCCCATGTTAATTTTAAAACCCCCAGGTATTTAAACCCTTTCCCTTCCCCTTCCCAGGTTAATTTTAAACCCCCGGGTATTTAAAATTTCCCTTTCCCTTCCCAGGTTAAAAAATTGGTTTAACACCCCGGGTTTAATTTTAAAACCCCCGGTTTCCTTTCCCTTTCCCCGGGTTAAGGGAAACCACCGATATTAACCTTTTTTCCCTTTCCCCAGGTTTTTGTTAAAAACCCCGGGCCCTTTAAAACAGATAAAATTTTGCAGTTTTAATAAACTTTAAACCGTATTCAGTGACCTAAATTTAGAAAAACAATTGGAAAAATTCCTTCCCATGGCCTCAGCCTCGAACTGAAGAATATATATAAATTAAGACCCGGCCAACACCCTGGGTATATTTTTTAAAAACGTTTTCGCCTTGCCCAGTCAAATAAGAGGGGGCCCCCTTTTGGCGAAAGGATAGTAGCGAGGTAAAATCACGTAAACAGCTCTGGGATCTTGGAAAAATTTAGTTTGAGGGGGTCGGCCCTTCGGGTCTGGAGGGGGAGGGGAAAGGAAGGGGGGTGGGGAAGGGAAAGGGAAGGAAGGAAGGAAAAGGAAGGAAGGAACGGGGGGAAAGGGAAAAAAATGTGGGGAATTACCTGAGTCACTGAGTTTTTTTTGGGGAACTCGAGTGCTTTAACTCAATACAGGGGAAAGTTTGTGTTTTGTGTGGTGTACTCCCCTAATTGGGGATTGCAGGGGTCGAGTCATAGCCCTGGCCTGTGGGGTATGTGTGGTGTGAAATTTACAAATTACGATTAAAATTTTAAAATTAATAAAGGGAAAGAACTTGGCTTGTAAAATATAATTCTCACAAAATTTTACGTTCAATTTAACTCAAGTTGTTTCCCAAATTTTTTGATTCTGAAACTATTCCTAAGTGATAAATTGCCAAAATTTTCCCTATAAAAGAAGCACCGGGCCGCCGAGGTTTCCGGGGAAAAACACTAGCACTTAAGGTACCAATAAGGGGCACTTGCCCCTTTAAGGAAACCCAAAAATTACACTAGCATTAAGGTAACCCCAAAAATGACACAGCAATTTAAAGGGACCAAAAAGACACTAGCACTTAAGGGCCCCAAAAATGCAACACTTAAAGGGACCAATAATGACACTTAAATTAAGGTACCCAAAAATGACACAGCACTTAGGAAACCCAAAAATGAAAACCCCCATTAAGGGACCAATAAAGACACTAGCACTTAAGGGACCCAAAAATGACCCCCAAAAATAATTGTACCAATAATGACACTAGCACTTGAGGTTCCAATAATTTACACTAGCACTTTTAGGTTCCAAAAATGACACTACACTTTAAGGGACCAAAAATGACACTAGAAATTGAGGTTTCCCAAAAATACAACCCCAGAAATTGAGGACCAAAAATGGGCACTAGCACTTAAAGGTAAAAAATAATGACACTAGCACTTGAGGGTTCCCAAAAATTACACTAGCACTTTTAAAGGGACCAATTTAAAACCCCTAGCACTTGAGGTTTCCCAAAAATGCACTAGCACTTGAGGTTTCCCAAAAATGCCTAGCACTTAAGGTTCCCAAAAATGCACTAGCACTTGAGGTTTTCCCAAAAAGACACTAGCACTTAAAGGGACCAATAATTTAAAAACTACACTTGAGGGTTCCCAAAAATGGGCACTACATTTAGGTTCCAATAATGACCTAGGGACTTTAGGTAAACCAATAAGACCCTAGCACTTGAGGTTCCCCAAAAATGACACTACATTGAGGGTTTTTAAAAAGACACTAGCACTTGAGGTTTCCCAAAAATGAAAACTAGCACTTGAGGGAAACCCAAAAAAGCCTAGCACTTGAGTTTCCAAAAATGAACACTTTGGGGACCCCCCCCCCCTTAAGGGTCCCCCCCCCCCCCTAATTAAAGACACTTAATTGAGGTTCCAATAATGACACTAGCACTTTAGGGGTTTCCCAAAAATTTCACTAGCACTTGAGGTTCCAATAATGACACTACACTTGAGGGTTTCCCAAAAATGGGCACTAGCACTTTAGGTTCCAATATTTACCCCTAGCACTTGAGGTTTCCCAAAAATACACAAACACTTGAGGTTTTCCCAAAAATGACACTAGCACTTGAGGGACCAATAAAGACCTAGCAATTAAGGGACCAATAAAAGACACTAGCACTTTAAGGTACCAATTTAAAGACACTAGGGGACTTGAGGGGCCCAAAAATACACTAGACTTTTTTTTTTTTAAAGGTTTTTAAAAAATGACACCCACACTTGAGGTTCCCCAAAAATGACACTAGCAATTAAGGTACCAAAAAATGACAAAAGCACTTTTTAAAGGGACCAATAATGACACTAGCACTTGAGGTTCCCCAAAAATTTACACTAAAAACTTAGGGCAAAACCCCCAAGACAAAGCACTTAAAAAGGGTTCCCAAAAATGACACAAACATTAAGGTACCAAAAAAGACAATAGCACTTAAGGTACCCAAAAATGACATGCACTTAAAGGTTAAAAAACCCAAAAATGACATAGCACTTGAGGTTCCCAAAAATGACACTTGCACTTGGGGGACCAAAAAAAGACACTAGCAATTTAGGTCCAAAAATGACACTGGGACTTAAAGGGACCAAAAAAGGGCACTAGCACTTGAGGACCCAAAAATGAAACAAAAACCCTTTAAAGGGACCAATAATGAAAAAGCACTTAAGGGACCCCAAAAATGACACAAACACTTAAGGTACCAAAATGACACTAGGGACTTTAAAGGGACCAATAATGACACTAGCACTTAAGGTTCCAATAAAAACAACAAATTAAGGGACCCAAAAATGGGCACTAGCCCCTTTAAAGGAAACCCAAAAATTACACTAGCACTTAAGGGTTTCCCAAAAATTGGGCCCCTAGCACTTAAGGTACCAAAAATTTACCAAATTGCACTTAAGGTACCAATAATGAAAACCCAGCATTTAAAGGGACCAATTGACACTAGCACTTTAAAGGGACCAATAATGACAAAAAGCACTAAAGGGACCAAAAAGGCCTACACTTGAGGTTCCAATAAAGACACAAACACTTAAAGGCCCCCAAAAATACACTAGCAATTTAAAGGGAAAATAAGGGCACTAGCACTTGAGGTTCCAATAATGACACTTTGTACTTTTTGGGGCCAAAAATGACACTACATTGAGGTTCCCCAAAAATGACATAGCACTTAGGTTCCCAAAATGACCTAGCAATTTAAAGGTTTCCAATTTTGACACTAGCAAATTGAGGTTTCCAAAAAAAACACTAGCACTTAAAAGGGACCAAAAAAGAAAACTAGAAATTGGGTTCCCCAAAAAATTAAAACTACATTGAGGTTTCCCAAAAATTACACAACATTGAGGTTTCCCAAAAATAAAAATAGCACTTTAGGTTCCAATAATGACACTGGGACTTTAGGTTTTTTGGGGGGGGGTTAAACCCCCCTAGCAATTAAAGGACCAATTTTAAAGAACTAGACTTTAGGTTCCAATAAGACACTAGCAAATTAAAAGGGCCAAAATGACACTAGCCTTAGGGACCAATAATGACACTAGCCCTTAAAGGGACCAAAAAATGACACTAACACTTGAGGGTTTCCCAAAAAAGACACTAGCACTTAAGGTTCCAATATGACACTAGCACTTAAGGTACCAATAATACACAAACACTTGAGGGTTTCCAAAAATGACAAAAAGCACTTGAGGTTTTCCCAAAAATGACACTAGCACTTGAAAGGGACCAAAAATACCAAACACTTAAGGTTTCCAAAAATGACACTAGCACTTGGGGGTTCCAAAAATGACACTAGCACTTAAGGTACCAATAATGACACTAGGGACTTGAGGTTCCCAAAAAAGACACTACATTAAGGGGGCCAATAAGACACTACACTTGGGTTCCAAAATGACACTAGCCCTTAGGGTTCCAAAAAAGACACTAGCACTTTTGGTTTCCAATAATGACACTAGCACTTAAGGTAAACCAAAAATGCAATTTGCACTTTAAAGGGACCAATAAAGGGCACTACATTAAAGGAAACCCAAAAATGACACTAGCACTTTAGGTTCCAATAATGGGCACTAAAACTTGAGGGGTTCCAAAAAAAATCCCAAAAAACACTTAAGTTACCAATAATGGCACAGCACTTAAGGTACCAAAAAAATTTACACTAAAACCAAAAAATTAGGTTACCAATAAAGAACTAGCACTTAAGGAAACCCAAAAATGACACTAGCACCCTTTAAGGGCCAATAATGAACTAGCACTTTAAAGGGCCAATAAATTTAAAAGCACTTTAGGTTCCAATAATGACACAAACACTTTAAAGGGTTCCAATAAAAAAAAACTTGCACTTAAGGTACCAATAAACACAAACACTTAAGGGTTTCCAAAAATAAAACTGCACTTAAGGTTTTTCCCAAAAAAGACACTAGCATTTTGGGCCAATAAGACCCCTAGCACTTAAGGGCCCCTTTAAAGACCCCAGCCTTAGGTTTCCCAAAAAATTGACACTACACTTAAGGTTCCAATAATGACACCAAACACTTTTTTGGGCCAAAAATGACACTAGCAAATTTAAAGGGACCCAAAAATGACACTAGCCTTAAGGTACCAATTTAAAGACACTTTGCACTTGAAATTCCAAAAAATTAAAACAATTAATTTCACTTGAGGGTTCCCAAAAAGGAAAACTAGCACTTAAGGGTTCCCAAAAATGACACTACACTTGAGGTTCCAAAAATGGGCACTACACTTAAGGTCCAATTTTCAACAAACACTTAAGGGACCAATAATGACCCCGCACCTTTGGGGTTTCCCAAAATGACACAAACACTTAAGGTTCCAATAATTTACACTAGCACTTGATTTCCAATTAAAGACACTAGCCAATTTTAGGTTTTCCCAAAAATGACACTAGCACTTTAGGTTCCCAAAAATTTACACTAACTTTAAGGGTTCCCCAAAAATGACACTAAACACTTAAAGGGCCAATTTAAGACAATACACTTTTAGGTTTCCAATAATGACACTAGCACTTAAGGTTCCAATAATGACACTAGCACTTGAGGTTCCAATAATGACACTAGCACTTAAGGTTCCAATAATGACCCAGCACTTGAGTTTTCCAAAAAATGGGGCACTAGCACTTTAGGGCCAATAATGACAATAGCCTTGAGGTTTTCCAAAAAATGACACTAGACTTAGGTTCCCAAAAATGACACTAGCACTTAAGGTACCAAAAAATGAAATTCCCCTTGAGGGTTTTTAATAAGACCCCCTGCACTTGAGTTCCAATAATTTACACTAGATTTTAGGTTCCCAATTTAAAAAAAACTGCCTTAAAGGGCCAAAAATGACACAGCAAATTGGGGGGTTCCCCCAATTTACCCCTAGCACTTAAAGGGCCAATAAAAGACCCCTAGCACTTAAGGTTTAACCCAAAAATGAACTAAAACCACTTGAGGTTCCAATAAAGACACTAGCACTTGAGGTTCCAAAAAGACACAGCATTTAGGAACCCAAAAATGACACTAGCACTTAAGGTTTTTAATAATTTACACAGAAATTTAAGGGCCAAAAATGACACTTCACTTGGGGGTTCCAAAAAAGACACAAACACCTTTTTAGGTTCCAAATTTTCCCCTTCAATTGAATTCCAAAAAAGACACTAGCACTTGAGGTTCCCAAATTTTTGACCTAGCCTTGGGGGTTCCCCAAAAATGAAACTAGCACTTGGGTTTAAAAAAAACCCCCAAAATAAATAAGACTAGCACTTAAAGGGCCAAAAATGAACTACACTTAAAGGGCCCCAAAAAAGGACTTCCACTTGAGGTACCAATAATGACACTAGCACTTTAAAGGTTCCAAAAAAATGACCTAGCACTTAAAGGGTTTCCCAAAATTGACACTTTTAAATTGGGGGTTTTCCCCAATTAAAGACACTAGCCCTGAGGGTTCCCAAAAATGACACTGCACTTAAAGGTTTCCCAAAAATGACACTAGCACTTTAAAGGGAAACCCAAAAATGATCTAGCACTTTAGGGGCCAAAAATGACACTAGCACCTTTTGGTTCCCAAAATGACACTTGCACTTGAGGGACCAATAATGACACTAGCCAAAGGGGTTCCAATAATGACACTAAACCCCTTAAGGGTTCCAAAAAATTTTACAAAAAATTAAAATAGCACTTGAGGTCCCAAAAATGCACTACACTTAAGGGTTCCCCAAAAATGACACTAGCACTTTAGGTAACCCAAAAATGAAAACTAGCATTAAAGGTTTTAATAATGGGCACAAACACTTAAAGGGACCAATAATGAAAATAGCACTTTAAAGGGAAACCAAAAATGACACTAGCACTTTAAAGGGTTCCCCTTAAATTCACTAGCACTTTAGGTACCAATAATGACACAGCACTTTTTAGGTACCTTAAATGACACTAGCAAAATTAAGGTTTCCAAAAAGACACTACACTTTAAAGGGACCCAAAAATGGCACTACAATTGAGGGGCCCAAAAATGACACTAGAAATTGAGGTTCCCAAAAAGGGCACTACATTGAGGTACCCAAAAATGACACTTGCAAATTTAGGTACCAAAATGCCCCTACCTTAAGGGTTAAACCCAAAAAAGACACTACACTTAAAGGGCCCCAAAAATGACACACACTTAAAGGGCCAATAATTTACACTAACAATTGAAAGGGACCAATAATGCACTAGCACTTTAGGTACCAATAAAGAAAATACCCTTAAGGTTTCCCAAAAATGGGCACTAGCACTTAAAGGTACCCAAAAATGACACTACACTTAAGGGCCAATAAGGAAAACTAAACACTTAAAGGTTTCCCAAAAATGACACAAACAAATTGGGCCCAAAAATGACACTAACTTAAGGGTTCCAATAATGACACTAGGGAATTGAGGTACCAATAATGACACTAAAACTTAAGGGCCAATAATGGGCACTTTGGGACTTAAGGTTCCCAAAAATGGGCACTAGCCTTGAGGGACCAATAAATGAACTAGCACTTGAGGTAAACCCAAAAAGAACAACACTTGAAGGGCCCAAAAATGACACCCAGCATTGTGGGACCAATAATGACACTAGCACTTAAAGGGTTTCCCAAAAATGAAAAAGCACTTAAGGGACCAATAATGACACTAGAATTGATACCCAAAAAGACACTAGCACTTAAGGGTTTCCCAAAAAATGAAAACTTAAGGGCAATTTTTGGGGGACCCAAAAATGAAAACTAGCACTTTAGGTTTCCCTAATGACACTAGACTTTAAAGGGCCCCAAAAATGACACTAGCCCTTGAGGTACCAATAATGACCCCTAGCACTTGGGGTACCAATTAAAGACCTAGCACTTGAGGTAAACCCAAAAATGACACAAACACTTGAGGTTTCCAATAATGAACAAACACTTAAAGGGCCAATAATGAACTAGCATTAAGGGACCAATAAAGACACTGCAATTTAGGTACCAATAATGAAAATAGCACTTAAGGTTCCCAATTTAAAGACATAAACACTTAAGGGGACCAATAAAAGACACTACAAATTTAGGTACCAATAAAACACTAGAAATTAAGGGCCCCTTTAAAAAAAACTAGCACTTAAGGTACCAATTTAAGACCTAGCAATTGAGGGCCAAAAAATGGACACAAACACTTAAAGGGCCAATAAAGAAACTAGCACCCAGGGACCAATAAAAGACACTAAACCCCTTTTAGGAACCCAAAAAAGCACACACTTAAGGGACCCAAAAATGACCCCTAGAAAATTAAAGGGCCAATAATAAAACTGCACTTGAGGTACCAATAATGAAACAAACCCTTAAAGGGTTTCCAAAAATGACACTAGCACTTAAGGTTCCAATAAAGACACTACTCTTGGGTACCCAAAAAAAACACTAACTTTAAAGGGTTCCAATAAAGACACTACACTTAAGGGACCAATTTAAAGACACTAGCATTAAAGGGCCAAAAAATGACATAAACCTTAAAGGGTTTCCCCAAAAATGAAACTAGCACCTTTGGTTTCCCAAAAATGACAAATTTTTAAATTTAGGCCATTAAGGCACTTTGCACTTAAGGTTTCCCAAAATGAACCCCTAGCACTTAAGGTTCCAATAATAAAACCCAGCCCCTTAAGGGGCCAATAATGGGCACTTTGCATTGAGGTTCCCAAAAATGGGCACTAGCACTTAAGGTTCCAATTTAAAGAACTAGCACTTAAAGGGACCAAAAAAAAATGAAACTTGCACTTAAGGCCAATTTAAAGACAAATAGCAAATTAAAGGGCCAATAAAGACACTAGCACTTAAGGACCAATAAAGCACAAACATTTAGGACCAATAATGAAATAGACTTAAGGGCCAAATTGACCCCTACACTTGAGGTTCCAATAATGACACTAGCACTTGGGGCCAAAAATGCACTTGCACTTAAGGCCAAAAAATGACACTAGCACTTAAAGGGTTCCCAAAAATGACACTAGCACTTAGGTTTCCCAAAAATGACACTAGCACTTAAAGGGCCAATTTAAAGACATACACTTAAGGGCCAAAAAATTTACACTAACACTTGAGGTACCAATAAAGACACCAAACACTTAAGGGTTCCAAAAAATTACCCCTAGCAAATTAAAGGTTCCCAAAAAATACATAGCACTTGAGGGCCAATAATTTACCCCTAGCATTTAGGGTTTCCAATAATTTAAAACTAGCACTTGAGGGCAAAATGGGCACAGCACTTGAGGTACCAATAATGACACTAGCCTTAAGGTTCCAAAAAAAGACACTACACTTGAGGTTCCAATAATGACACTAGCACTTAAAGGGTTCCAATAAAGCACAAAACTTTAGGTACCCCAAAAATGACACAAACACTTGGTTTCCAATAATGACATTAAACCTTGAGGGACCAATAAAGCACTACACTTAAGGTTTTCCCAAAAATGACACTAGCACTTGAGGTTCCAATTTAAAGGGCACTAGCACTTGAGGGCCAAAATGACCCCTACACGAAAGGGAACCCAAAAATGACACTAGCACTTGAGGTTTTTAAAAAACACAGCACTTAAAGGGCCAAAATGACACTTGCCCTTAAGGACCCAAAAATGACACTAGCACTTGAGGTTCCAATTTAAAGACAATGCACTTGAGGGCCAATAAAAGACCTAGCACTTGAGGGCCCAAAAAGAACTAGCACTTTAGGTTCCAATAATTGACACTACAATTGAGGTACCAATAAGACACTTGCAATTGGGGGCCAAAAATGACAATAGCAACCCTTGAGGTTCCAATAATGACACTAGCACTTGAGGTTCCAATAATGACACTAGCACTTGAGGTTCCAATAATGACACTAGCACTTGAGGTTCCAATAATGACACTAGCACTTAAGGTGCCAATAATACCTAAACACTTAAGGGACCAATAAGACACACACTTAAGGTTCCAATAAAACACTACAATTTAGGGTTTAAAAATGACACAACCCCTGAGGTTCCAAAAATGACACTAGCATTAGGTTCCAATAATTTTCACTAGGGACTTGAGGTACCAATAATGACATAGCACTTTAGGTCCCCAAAAATGGGCACTAGCCTTTAGGTTCCAATAATGACACTAGCACTTGAGGTTCCAATAATGAAAACTAGCACTTAAGGTTTCCCAAAAATGGGCACTTTGCACTTGAGGTTTTAAAAGACCCAGCACTTAAAAGGTTCCAATAATTTACACTTTGCACTTGAAGGGCCAATAATGACTTTGCACTTAAGGTTTTTTTCCCTTTTTTCCTTTTTTTTTTCCTTTTTTTTTCCTTTTTTCCTTTTTTTCCTTTTTCCCTTTTCCCCTTTTTTTTCCTTTTTTTTCCCCTTTTTTTTTCCCCCCCCCCTTTTCCCCAAAATGACACTAGCATTTAGGTACCCAAAAAAGAAAACCCAGCCTTAAGGTTTCCCAAAAATTTACAAATAGCACTTTTTGGGGTTTCCAAAAAATGACACTGGGACTTCAGGTTTCCAATAATGACACAAACACTTGAGGTACCAAAAAAGACCTAGCACTTAAGTTTTCCCAAAAAAGACACTAGCACGAGGTTCCAATAATTTCCCCTAGCACTTAAAAAGGGTTTCCCAAAAATGACACTAGCACTTAAAGGGCCAAAAATGACACTAGCAATTAAGGTTCCCAAAAATGACACAAACACTTGAGGAACCCAATTTAATTTACACTGCACTTAAAGGGTTTCCCAAAAATGACCCCTAGCACTTGAGGGAACCCAAAAAATGACCTAGCATTAAAGGGTTTCCCAAAAATGAAAAACTAGCACTTTAGGTTCCCCTTTAAAGACCCCTAGCACATAAGGTTCCAATTTAAAAAAAACCCAGATTAAAGGGGGCCCTTTTTTTACACTAGCACTTAAGGTTCCAATAATGACACTAGCACTTGAGGTACCAATAATGACACTAGCACTTAAGGTTCCAATAATGACACTAGCACTTGAGGTTCCAATAATGACACTAGCACTTGAGGTACCAATAATGACACTAGCACTTGAGGTTCCAATAATGACACTAGCACTTGAGGTTCCAATAATGTATTTAATGTTGCAGATCTTTCGTTAACCATCATTAGAATATAAATTTACATTACAATAATAATTCACAGTGCTTGTGTTATCCACGGTTATTAACTCTGTAAGGTTTTTCTCTCTTTCTTCTTCTTCTTCTTCTTCTTCTCCTTCTCCTTCTCCTTCTCCTTCTCCTTCTCCTTCTTCTTCTCCTTCTAATTCTTCTTCTTCTTCTTCTTCTTCTTCTTCTTCTTCTTCTTCTTCTTCTTTTTCTTTTTCTCTTTTCTTTTTCTTTTTTTCTTTTTCTTTTTTTTCTTTTTTCTTTTTCTTTTTCTTTTTCTTTTTCTTTTTCTTCTTCTTCTCCTTCTTCTTCTTCTTCTTCTTCTTCTTCTTCTTCTTCTTCTTCTTCTTCTTCTTCTTCTTCTTCTTCTTCTTCTTCTTCTTCTTCTTCTTTCTTCTTCTTCTTCGTCTTCTTCTTCTTCTTCCTTTTCCTCCCCCTCCTCCTCCTCCTCCTCGTGAATAAGATAACCCGTCACCATATAATACAACGTAAACATAACAGAAGCACCACAAGAAGACAACTTCGATGTCTCACTCCCACAACATCGAAGTCCTCCTCTCAACTCTCCTCAATAACCCTCATTTCCTGCCTCCAGATCGCATTAAAACACCTAACGACACTCTTTCAGATAATTGTTGTAATACCCAAAGTTAAATAAGCAATAAGGTTGGGGGTATCGTGGCACGTTTCTGACAAATGAGATGAGATAAAGATAGTGATAATGATTTAGAAGGGAATTGAACGAACATAGGATGAACTATGAAGAGAAATGAGAATCAGTAGTGGTAGGAGTAGTAGCGGTAGCAGTAGTAGTGATAGCAGTAGTAGTGGTAGCAGTAGTAGTTATAGCAGTAGTAGTGGTAGCAGTAGTAGTGATAGGAGTAGTAGCGGTAGCAGTAGTAGTGGTAGGAGTAGTTGCGGTAGCAGTAGTAGTGATAGCAGTAGTAGTGGTAGCAGTAGTAGTGATATCAGTAGTAGTGGTAGCAGTAGTAGTTATAGCAGTAGTAGTGGTAGCAGTAGTAGTGATATCAGTAGTAGTGGTAGCAGTAGTAGTTATAGCAGTAGTAGTGGTAGCAGTAGTAGTGATAGCAGTAGTAGCGGTAGCAGTAGTAGTGGTAGGAGTAGTAGCAGTAGCAGTAGTAGTGGTAGGAGTAGTAGCGGTAGCAGTAGTAGTGGTAGGAGTAGTAGCGGTAGCAGTGGTAGTGATAGCAGTAGTAGTGGTAGCAATAGTAGTAGTAACAGTGGTAGTGGGAACAGTAGTAGTGATAACAGTAGTAGTGGTAACAGTAGTAGTGGTAACAGTAGTAATGGTAACAGCAGCAGCAGTAACAGCAGCATTAATAGAAGCATAAGCAGCAGGAGTAGCAACAGCAGCAACAACAGCAGAAGCAGCAGACTGAGCTGATGCAAGGAAGGAATCACTTAACACAGCAGTGAACCTGACACAGGTATCCCTCCAACACACCTAACTCAGACATACCTGACGCAGGTAACCCTCCAACACACCTAACTCAGACATACCTGACACATGTATCCCTCCAACACACCTAACTCCAGACATACCTGACCAGGTATCCCTCCAACACACCTAACTCAGACATACCTGACACAGGTATCCCTCCAAACACACCTAACTCAGACATACCTGACGCAGGTAACCCTCCAACACACCTAACTCAGACATACCTGACACATGTATCCCTCCAACACACCTAACTCAGACATACCTGACACAGGTATCCCTCCAACACACCTAACTCAGACATACCTGACGCAGGTATCCCTCCAACACACCTAACTCAGACATACCTGACGCAGGTATCCCTCCAACACACCTAACTCAGAAAATACCTGACGCAGGTATCCCCCAACACACCTAACTCAGACATACCTGACGCAGGTATCCCTCCAACACACCTAACTCAGACATACCTGACACAGGTAATCCCTCCAACACACCTAACTCAGACATACCTGACGCAGGTATCCCTCCAACACGCCTAACTCAGACATACCTGACGCAGGTAACCCTCCAACACACCTAACTCAGACATACCTGACACAGGTATCCCTCCAACACACCTAACTCAGACATACCTGACGCAGGTATCCCTCCAACACACCTAACTCAGACATACCTGACCAGGTAGCCCTCCACACACCTAACTCAGACATACCTGACGCAGGTAGCCCTCCAACACACCTAACTCAGACATACCTGACACAGGTATCCCTCCAACACACCTAACTCAGACATACCTGACGCTGGTATCCCTCCAACACACCTAACTCAGACATACCTGACGCAGGTATCCCTCCAGCACACCTAACTCAGACATGCCTGACACAGGTATTCCTCCAACACACCTAACTCAGACATACCTGACGCAGGTATCCCTCCAACACACCTAACTCAGACATACCTGACGCAGGTATCCCTCCAGCACACCTAACTCAGACATACCTGACACAGGTATCCCTCCAGCACACCTAACTCAGACATACCTGACACAGGTATCCCTCCAACACACCTAACTCAGACATACCTGACGCAGGTATCCCTCCAACACACCTAACTCAGACATACCTGACACAGGTATCCCTCCAGCACACCTAACTCAGACATACCTGACACAGGTAGCCCTCCAGCACACCTAACTCAGACATACCTGACGCAGGTAGCCCTCCAACACACCTAACTCAGACATACCTGACGCAGGTAT